CCATTTCCGCCTTTTGGCCGTACGTTCACTTTTAGTATGGTTTCCATGCAATCCTTTATAAATGAGACCCCTGGAGTGAACATGAGCCAGTATAAGTACAAACAGGGACAAGTGGAAACTGCAGGCAGCTGGGTGATCCAGATGTGAGACAACAAGATGAACCAGAAGACTGAGGAACATGATAGATTAACTAAACACAAGACAACACCAGAGAGAGATAAGACACAACACAACAAAGAGCACACGTAGCTCAAATCCTCACAAGAACAAGCTGCAGGGCTGTTCAGGAAGCTAACAGGAGCGTTATCAGAGCTGGACTTTCATCACCTCAGAGACACTGTCAGACTGATCTGGATTTAATTACAATTATTTTCTTTTGTTTACTCATTTTATTTCATTTATTCTTTTTGTTTGTTCCATTGACTTTCATTGATTTTCCATATAGCCTAACCCTGACCCAAAAACAGCCTTTGGACTTGCAGGGCCCGGGTTTTGGTCCTCATAAGGAGCAATGGGTCCTCACAAGGTGACAAATCCAAAGACACACACACACAGTTTGTGCAGCAGGACCAGGATTAAACTCACCCCAGCAGAACACCGACAAACAGAMTTCCAGCCAACACTTTCACGTTCAGCATCTTCAGACACACACTCAGTCCAAACGGGTCGGTTCTGATCCAGGACCAGCAGGTCTGAATATAACTGGCTCTGCAGGGAGGTCCTCAAATGTCACTGCTCCCAGTTTTGAGGGGGTTTTGGTTTCAGTTTTTGTCTCGCTGTGGTCTTAACCCAGGTCTCTGATGTGGATCAGTTTGGTTCTGAATGATCCGGACTCAGTTCTGAATGATCCGGACTCACTGGATCAGTTGGGAGTTTTTCAGCAAACAGGTTTGATGAGGAAGTTGCAGTCTGAAGGGGTGTGGATTAGAAAAAGATGAACTCATTAAACCTGAACTGCTGACAGGAGGTGACACCTGCTGTGGTCTTCTGAGGCTCCAGGGGTCTCATTTATAAAGGATTGCGTGGAAACCATACTAAAAGTGAACGTACGGCCAAAAGGCGGAAATGGCGTACGCCAAAAAAAATTCTGATTTATAAAATCGTACGTACACATGCTTCTGCGCATCTTTCCTTTATAAATCACAGCCGCACGTCAGAGTTTGTGCACGAGGTCCTCCTCAGGTTCTACCCTCTAC